CCTTTTGATTTCCTGATATAGACTCACAGTGGACTCTGCAGTGATCTCCAGCCTTTTGACTTATAACTCTGTTCTTTGGCCCTCCAGTGTGCAGGTGGTCCTTTGGCATTCTTCTATCCCTGACTCTGTAAGTGGTCATTGTAAGCCTATTTTGTAAATGTTACGAGATATATATACACACACTCACACACACACACACATACATGTACATCATGTATAGATGACAAATATATGCTACATATCATATATGGATGGCATATAGGCTATATATCATATGGAAGATATATAATATATATAATATCTGTCCCTCTAGTGAATCCTAGCTGATACAGTTCTCATAGAAACAAATCTAATAGAACAAAAGTAGCGCTCCACCTTCTAACCCCACACCCTTTCCTGAGGGCCACTGCTCCTCCCTGGCTTCAGTCAAGATGCTGCAAGGCCTGCGAGTCTTTGCCTCTTGCTTCCCTCTGTCAAGAAGACCAACCCCAGGGCACAGAGAGCGTCCAGGGCTTTGCCTGAACTCTGCAGACTCTGGGCCTAACATTTATCTGAACACTCAGTGTCTCTCTCCTGCTTCTTTCTGTCTCCCTGGCCTTCCTACCGGTACCTGGGCTCCTCCCTCTTCCAAAGACATTTGGCTCTTGGACTTGGGCCCATGGAATCTGCAGCTCTTCCCCCAGCTGAAGGGCTTCCGGGGCTCCCACTCTGGCCTCCACACCCTATCTTCTCTTCCTGTAATAACTGAACCTTGGCCACCCAGCTCGGGCCCCGAACCTGCCATGCCATCCCCAACCTCCAGCCTGAGTCTCTGACTTGCTCTCTTCCTACCCTGCAGCTATGGCAATCCTTCCAGGCGGAACTCAGCGCAGACTGTTTTCTTTGTAAAGGTCTGCCTTGGGGCTGTGATCTGAACGTGGCCCCCAGAGACCACGCATTGGAAACTTACTTCCCAGGGCAGCCATGTTGCAGGTGGGAACTTTCACAAGGTGCGGAGGTCACCAGGGCTCCACCCTCATCCACTGGCCCATGCTGTTGTCAGAGGGGACACATTGGTCCCCTTCCTGTCTCGCCCACACCAGGTCCTTTCCCCACCACCTCTCGCCCTAGACCACACAACAAGGAATCCGTGCAGGATGTAGGCGTCTCCACCTTGGACCCCCGCCTCCAGGAAGGTGAGACCCACGCCTCTGTTGCCCACCAGCTACGCAGGGTAGGGTGTTCTGTTATAGCAGCAGAAAACACACTGAGGCACCGGCTTCTTGATGTGCTTAGAGCAAAATCTGGCGCTCTAATCCAGGCTCCTCTTCCAATGCCTCCACACAGGCCTTCCAGCCATCCTTGGAGGGGTGACCTGGCCCTCCTGGATGGGTGTCACCAGTCTTGGCCACCTTCCCTGAGTGTGGCTCAGCTGCGCCAATCAGACCCTTCTCTCTGAAATTTGACCCGTGAGCACGGTGGAGACCTCAGAGTTTACAAGAAAACAGCTGGGCAGCTTCGTTTCTTTATCTCACAGGGGCTGTGGAGGCCGCCCTGGCCCTGCTGCCCCGCATGGTCCACTCGTGCCTATCCACTGGGCTCCCTGCTTCCTGCCCTGACCCTCGCCCGTTCCCTTTTCTGGCCTGACTCCTGCTCTTTGCACTCAGGGGATCCTGCCTGACACTCTCCACCCTTGGGTGCTGAGCACCCTGCTCCGAGCTCCCGTGTGCACACAGAAGCCCGGTACACACTCGCTGCAGGGACAACGAAGGCTGGGGCGAATTTGTGGGGAATTCCTGAGGGGAAAAAGGGACAGGAGTGAGCATTGTGCTGCATTCTCTGGCAGAGCCTGGAAGGCCGGACCGAGTGTACCCAGGAGAAACCGCTCGGCGCCACCTGTCTGGGGCGGGCTCTGACCTGGGAACATGCAGAGTGGCTGCTGCCCGAAGGTACATGCACGGGCAGGGTGTGCTGTGGTTTGGCCACAAGTGTCCTGTGCCCTCACGTGTTAAAGGGTTGGTGCTATGGAGAGGGGCTAGAACCTTTGGAGATGGCGCCCAGGGGTGGTCTTTAGGTCTCTGGGGAGCCCACGCCTTTCTCCTTCCTCTCCTTTACTTCTCAGAGGTGAAGTGAATGCTTTGCCCCACACACCCCATGACGTACACCCTCCCCTTGGTCCAGAAGAGACAGGGCCAGCTGACCACTGACTGAGCCCTCCAAGGCCGTGAACCCCAGCAAAGCTTCCCTCTCCGTAAGGCGATCATCTCTGGTGCTTGTTGAAGTGACCACAAGCTGACCAACACGGAGGGACCAGAGGTCTCCAGACCTCACTGCACGGGGCCTAGGTGCCCTCTCCGTGGCTGCCCACCTCCGTGTCCCCAGGCCCAGTGCCCTGGAAGAGCTGTGCCGTGCATGTACGATGGCTGGATCCAGTTACTTAGCCATGTATTACAAAGTTTGTTTTGACATAAACACATTTTTTTTCACTCCTTATTCCGGACACAAGTGAGAAGCAGAAAAGTAAAAACTCAGGGTTGAAAGGAGCCCAATGGAGACTGAATCCCCTCTCCATCGTTTCAGCCGACTGCTTAGCTCGGGACCGGGGGACTTTTTCCTTATGTTAAGCCACACACCCCACTGCAAGGGTAGACCGAACAAACCCACACGTTTTTTCTTTGCTTTGTTTGAGATGAGGTCTGCTCTCCTCTGCCTCAACCTCCCTGAGTGCCAGGGTTACAGGTACGTACCCTGGTACGCCTGGCTGTGGATCCCACCTCTTGCACCTGATTGCCCCTCAAATGTCAGAGGCGTCTCATCCTTTTCTCCAGGGTGACAACCACCCTGCACCACCTGTGTCCCGAGGACGCCTCCTCTTCTCGCCGCTCCCTCCCCTGCCTCGTCTCCCCTCCCCTCCATGAGACACAGGTCTTCCCAGTGCTGGTCCTGGGCTCCCTCTCTGGCGGCTCTGCTGAAGTTCTGTTTCCTGCCTGGTGGCCACAGCACCACTCATCAGCCAGTGTCTTCTGCACGCTGCAGGGCCACAACTCCTCACTGGCTTCCAGAGCAGTGGCCCTGGGCAGGCTGGTCCAGCACAACCTGGGAGACCTGCTGCCCCTCTCATTTTCAAACCTGGTCGATCCCCGAGGCTTACTGGTTCATCTCCAAAATATTCAGGATCCCTCCCGTCTCTCCATCTCCATGGCAACCACTCTAGTTAGGCCACTTTATGAGAATTTTTCGCCTGAACTACTCCTGGAGTCTCCTTCCTTTCTTGCACAGTACTTGTGATTGATACTCCAAAGGACCTGGAATAAAATCCAAACAGGATGTGCCATGCCTAACTGCAACTTTTTCACCATGTCTCTCCTCTGCCACCCTGTTAGGCACACTGGCCTTATCTTTGCTCTGTGGGCAGATGAATTTCTTCCTGCCACAGGGCCTTTGTGTGTGCTGCCTGGGTCCTCTCCTCTCACAATGCTTGTCTTCCCTGAGCCCCAGCTCGTTCGCCATCACAGACTTATGATACATACGTTTCCACTCTATATCTCTCTCCCCCACTAGATTCCAACCCAGTGTGTGTGTCCTTTTTCTCTTGTGACTTTTCCAGGACTCGGGAAACCTCCTGCATACATTAGGTGCTGGATAAATGTTTGCTGATGTTTGAAATATGCATTTCTGGCCAGCCCCTGGCTGCAAACATCTGTGACTCTTGAAAACCCATCTCCCCCTCCCCGTCCCAGTCTGCATCTCCTGCTGTCTTCTGGTCTCAGTGAGCAGCCCTCCATCCTGTCACCGTCACCCACGTCCAAGAAGCCTGCCCGGTCTGCTCTCTGAAGCCTTTCGCTGCACCCCAGTCCTCATGGGCCCTGGTCCCTGTGCTTCTGACCCTGGGACATCCCCTCCTTCCATGATCACCGCTGCTCTCCGGGCCCGGATGGGGAGACATCTCCGAAGGGACCCCTGGTGACTTCTCTTCTCACCCTCTTTGCCCAGGGGAAGGGTGGCTTCCCTGTCAGTGCTGGACGAAGGGCAGGAGGGGCTGGGGGGCAGCTCTCCAGTGTGGGGGTCCAGGAGGTCCCCTGGCTGGGGGACCGGGAGGGAAGGGGCCAGGCTGTATATGCAAATGAGGCTTTGGCGTCCACCTGCTCACCCAGCTGGAGAGCGGGGACAGCACCGTGTCTGCCCCTGGCGTGGTGATTGTTACTATCACTGTCCCCCACCTGTCAGCCCCGGTGCAGCTCTGGGGACCCCAGGGCAAACCTCTCCCCCGAGTGCGGAGGGACAGAACAGGAGCACCAGCAGAAGCCCCCAGTGACCCAGGGCGGAGGGTTCCACTGAGCAGCCAGTGGGTGAGGTCCGGGGCAGGCGCCTTCCACTTCCCGGGAGCCCTGAAACCAGGCACGTGTGTGGCAGCACAAGGGGGTGACTCAGACGCCTGTCATTTTCCTGCTAGGAGCCGCCCCCCTCCTCTTCCTCCTCCACAGCACGTCCCAGGCCCGTCAGGGGTGCCCCTCCTCTCACAGTCATGGACTGGAGGGTCTGTGTGGGACTCTGTTTCCAGCCCAGTGAATGTGGACAGAGGAGCCGTCCCCCGAGAGACTCCGGACGGTGTTTGGGCAGGAAAGAGCTGCATTGTCCTTATGTGACAGCCGGCGCCAGAGAACCCGTCTGTATAGTCAGCGTGACTTGCTATGAATCTCTGTTATTTCAAAATACAAAGACAGAAAAAACAGGTGGGTCTGGGGAGGCTGGACCAGGGAATGGGCCCAGGCCAGAGCTCCGTTAGGTACAGCGTGGGGATGAAGTAGCCTCTGCACCCTCTGCTGCCCAGGCCCTGTCCCACGGGGGCGCCCAAGGGGACGCTGGTCAGCCCGGTGCAGGTCTCAGAGCCCTGGGGAGGAGACAGCCAGGCCCTCAGTGGCTCCCAGCCAGGCCGCCCACTCTCAGGTAGGCAGAGCCAGGATGGGTGTGGGAAGCCGCCCAGGGCAGGGGCCAAAGTCTCTTCCGGCCCCGGCCCCGCCTGGACACGCGAGCTGGGCTTTGTCGCAGCAGCACTCCCTGGCCGGCTCTGTCACACTGGCCGGGGGGAGGGCAGCAGAGCCAGCAGAGCTGTCCTGGGTGTCACTTTGTCATTGGCGGAGGAGGAGAAGGAGGGCAGCAGGCTGGCAAGGCGGCTGGGGGCCAGTTTCCAGCTCATCCATCAGTGGGGCCAGGCTGCCACGTTTATCCCGAGTGGAACGACAGAGGAGGAAGTCCCCGCTCTGGCCTCCAGGTTCCCGCTGCGTCCCCAGGCCTCTCGCTGCCCCACCCTACATCTCCTCGTGCACTGGGCCCTGTGTGCCCTGCTCAGCCTGTAGGCCCCCAGATCCCTGCCCGCTCGTGTGGACTCACAGCTCTCAGGGACACCTCTGAAAGCCCCCACAAGGGAGGGGAGGAACACCCAGCCCAGCCTGCTGTAGCTCCTGGGGATCACCCAAGTCCTGGGTCTCCTTTGTCTCCAGTGCCACATGATTTCCTGTCCCTCTCCTCTCACCTCTGCCCAGGCTCTGACCTTGGCTCCTCTGTTAAAATATTACAGCAAATATAATTTGTATGCCTTTTCTCCTTTCTCTCTCTCTCCCTCTCTCTCTCTCCCTCTCTCTCTCTCCCTCTCTCTCTCTCTCTCTCTCTTCCTGCCTCAGCCTCCTGAATTGTTGGGATTACCAGTCCTGTGCAACCGGGCTGATTTAATCTGTTTCTGTCTGTCTAATTTGTGGTCACCACTCCCTGCATGTACGCAGGTTGAGGCAAAACCTTCTCCCCTGGACAGGCACAGCGTTCCTTCAGGAGGCCACACTACTGGGACCACTCTGCACGCCTTCCCTCCGAGTGCTCAGCGGCCCACATCAGAGATGGCTCTGGCTTTCCCGTTTCTAGCAGCACCTGCCACCCTTGCAGGTAGGGCTGGCTCCACTTCTCCCTCTTGAGGGCGGGACTTCTCGTCCCTCCCTCCCTGTCACCCTGCACTCCATGGTGCTCGCTGATGAAGGAGTATGTTATTTCTGGGAATGCTCCTTCCTCTCTGAGAAGCCTGAATGGTCCTGAACCAGTTTCTTTTCTCTTGGGGCTAGGAGAGTGAGTGCCGTCCTCCACACCCAGGGACAGACACACTAGCCCCAGGTCATTGGGTGTCCGCGTCTCACAGGATGGGGCCTCAAGAGGGAATCTGGTACTTGGCTGTAAGGAAGCAGGGGCAGGGCTGGAAGTGGAATGGGGGGAG